TCATCTCTATTATAGCAAGTACCTCCACCATCCAGGGTCCCCACATACCTGGGCTGTTGGGGTTGATTTTTTAAAAAAATATATTTTATTGATTTTTTACAGAGAGGAAGGGAGAGGGATAGAGAGTCAGAAACATTGATAAGAGAGAAACATCGATCAGCTGCCTCCTGCACGACCCCCACTGGGGATGTGCCCGCAACCAAGGTACATGCCCTTGACCGGAATCGAACCCGGGACCCTTGAGTCCACAGGCCGACGCTCTATCCACTGAGCCACACTGGTTAGGGCTGGGGTTGATTTTGAAAAGTTAAAAAGGCCAGGAAACATGGAGAACACGCTGGGACACTCTCATCTGCAAGCCAGAAATTTATTTTCCTTGTCTTTTTTGTGTGTTTCCTGTATTTAGTTTACTAAAAGCAAAATTTGAGCCCAAAAGTGTTTTTAATTTTTATTTTATTGATTGATTTTAGAGAGAGGAGAGAGAGAGAGAGAGAGAGAGAGAGAGAGATCAATTTGTGTTAGGGTCGCTGAAGGAGGAACGAGGAGGCTGAGGGTGGTGAGGGATTATAAATCTACTAGAGGCCCAATGCACGAAATTGGTGCAAGACTAGGCCTTCCTGCCCTAACCAGTTCGGCTCAGTGGATAGAGTGTTGGCCTTCGGACTGAAGGGTCCCAGGTTCGATTCTGGTCAAGGGCATGTACCTTGATTGTGGGCACATCCCCAGTAGGAGGTGTGCAGGAGGCAGCTGATGGATGTTTCTCTCTCATCGATGTTTCTAACTTTCTATCCCTCTCCCTTCCTCTCTACAAAAAAATCAATAAAATATATTTTTTAAAAAAGAGTAGGCAATCCTTCTGCCGGCTGCCAGGTACCAGCACAGGCTTCCTTCTGGAACCTGGGACCCTGGCTTCCCTCGCACCCCCCTGCCCTCCCCCACTTTGTCTGGAAGGACATCGGCCTAATTAGCATTCTAATTAGCATATTACACTTTTATTATTATGAGATAAGCCCCAAAATGGCTCCAGCACCCAGGGACTGGGAGTCAGAGGTCTTAAAGGACTCTAGGCTGGCTTTTTCTTCTAAAGATATTTTTATTGATTCAGAGAGGAAGGGAGAGGGAGAGAGAGAAACAGCAATGATGGCCATCATTGATTGGCTGCCTCCTGCACGCCGAATATTGGCAATTGAGCCCGCAACCCAGGCATGTGCCCTTGACTGGAATCGAACCCGGGACCCCTCAATCTGCAGACCGACGCTCTACCCACTGAGCGAAACCAGCCAGGGGCTGGATTCAATTATTTGGTCAGACCTAACAACCTATTGTTCCACGTCTGACTTAGGAATTCATCGGTTGCTTCTTGTATGTGCCCAAACCGTGGCATATTGGGAAGACGCTCTAACCAACTCTCTCTCTCTCTCTCTCTCTCTCTCTCTCTCTCTCTCTCTCTCTCTTTCCCAGCCTTTCCCGCGGGACACCTGGCTCCCAGGGCTCTCTCGTTCCCAGTGTACAATCGACCATTGTCAGTGAGCTGACCATCTTGTGACCCAGCACCTTATTTTATTTTTTGTTAATTCTCACCCAAGGATATATATATTTATTTTACAAGTGATGTGTTTAAGAATATATATATTTTTTATTATCTTTGTTGTTATTCCTCACCCGAGGATATTTTCCCATTGATTTTTAGAGGGAGTGGAAGGGAGAGGGATAGAGAGAGAGAAACATGATTTGAGAGAGAGACATGTCGATTGGTTGCCTCCCCCAGGTGCACCGACCGGGGCCGGGGATTGAGCCTGTGACCGAGTGACCTGCCCTTGACGGAAATCGAACCCAACCTGGGGCCCTTCCATCTTGGGGCCGATAGTCTGTCCGCTGAGCAGCCCCGCCCTAATCGGTGTGGCTCAGTGGGTAGAGTGTTGGCCCTTGGAGTGAAGGGTCCCAGGTTCGATTCCGGCCAAGGGCATGTACCTGGGTTGCAGGCTCTATCCCCAGGAGGGGGTGTGCAGGAGGCAGCTGATCAATGTTTCTCTCTCATTGATTTTTTTCTCACTCTCCCTCTCCTTTCCTCTCTGTAACATCAATAAAATATATTGAAAAAGAAACAAACAAACCTAGCAGTGGACCAAGCAGCCACATACGGCTGGTCAGTAACATACTTTGTACCAATTTAGACAAAGGAGGCCTCTGGCTGAACCTCAGCCTGTGGGCTATGGAAGGCTCCCCTGGGTAGGAAAGTAAGTGTCCTGTGTCCTCGCTTTTGCACCTGCAGCTGGTAACGTCGGCCTTGAGCCCCCGTGTACCCAGGACAGGCCCCCAGGCTCACACTGGCCTTGAACATCGCCGTGCTTTCTTTAGGGTTCCCACACCCTGACTCGGGGGCAGTCACAGCCTGGCCGGCCCTGCCCACTCATGTGCCCCCTCCCTGGATGGCCACGCTGGCCCCATGACCCTCTGTGCACCTCAGGGTGTCCACACGGATAACCCTGGCCTGCTCAGGAATCTCGTTATCGGTTGGATGTTTTCCAGATCCTAGCGTGTCATTATCTAAAGCAGAACCGGCCCATGTGTTCCTCTGGACGACAGTTCCCCTGGGAGGCGGGATCTGGGCCGGATTCTCAGAGCCAGGGGCTGGCGAGGGGCTGGCGTCCGATGCTGACAGATGGGCTACTTTTCTGGCTGAGAACCGTCAAGGACTCATGGATAGGGTGGATTCTTTGGGTGTCAATGATTGTCACTGTTTTATTTTCTATTTCTTTTTTTAAAAAAATATATTTTATTGATTTTTTACAGAGATGAAGGCCGAGGGATAGAGTTAAAAATATGGATGAGAGAGAAACATGGATCAGCCGCCTCCTGTACATCTCCTACTGGGGATGAGCCCGAAACCAAGGTACATGCCCTTGACCGGAATCGAACTCGGGACCCTTCAGTCCACAGGCCGACGCTCTCTCCACTGAGCCAAACCGGTTAGGACTTTCAAAAAAATATATTTTCATTGATTTCAGAGAGGAATGGAGAGGGAGAGAGAGAGAGATAGGAACATCAGTGATGAGAGAATCATGGACCCATCAGCTGCCTACTGCCCGGCCCCCCTGGGGATTGAGTCCCAAATCCGGACATGTGCCCTGACAGGGGATGGAACCCTGACCTCCTGGTTTATGGGTCCAGGCCCAACCTCTGAGCCATGGGGGGGGCAGTGTGTGGCTACCCCACTTAAGCCAGGGGCTGGGTGTGGCCTGGCCGGGGTGTGAGGGGCCCTCAGGCCTTTGCTGCGACTCTGCTGGTTTTGGGGGGGCTCTGGGCTGGGAAGGGAATGTCCTGGGCCCAGAGGGAGGAAGGGGGGACTGTTTAGAGAGTTGCAGGCCTGGTGGCCAGAGACGGGGGGCTCCTGGGCAGGCAGCCACTGTGAGTTTGGGGAGCCCCAAGAGACCCTAGTGCATGTTCACCCTGTCCGGAAAGAGAGAAAGAAAAAGAAAGAAAAGGAAGAAAGAGAGAAAAAGGAAGAAAGGAGAGAGAAGCCACAGGCCCAGTGGCCAGTGAGGGCCTGTGTGTAACAGGGTCCCCAGGCGTCTGTGCAGCCCGGAGCCTCCCACCACCCTCCGCACCTGCACCCAGGGCCGCCAGCCTCAGGCCTCTGCCCTTTCCTTCTGCTGGAACTGCCCCCCCTGCGGGTGCTGGGGGCGGTGGGGTTTCAGAGGGTGCATGGGGGTCCCCGCCCACACTCTGTACCATCACCTGCTCCTTCTGGCTCCCTGGTCCCTGGACACCCCCCCCCCCCCCGGAAGCCCAGGGGCGATGAGCCGTGCAGAGTCCAGCAGCTGTTAGTCAGGACGCCCGGCTCCCCCAGGGCGGTGCCAGCACCCACTTTCCTTCCCGGGTCCCGGTACCCCAGGGAGGAAGCGGGGGTCCAGCGGCGGGGGAGGGGGGGCGGGGCCCTGCGGCGGGCGGAGGGGCGGGGCCGGGGCTGGAACAAAGGCCGCGCGCACACAGCCCACGGCCCCGGCCCCGGCCCCGCAGGGAACAAAGCCGCACCCGGCCCGATCGCCCGCCACGCCCCCGCCGCCACGTGCGGGCGCGAGCCCGGGAGGCGAGCGGGTCCGGGCTGGACCTGCAGGCCCGGAGGCTCCGCACCCGCCCGGGGCCGCCCCTTCGCTCCGGATCCTCCCCGACTTTCCTTCCGCCCGGGACCGGGGCCCGCGGGGAGGGTCGGCCCGCCCGCCCGGACCGGCCTTGCGGACCGAGCCTGTGCTGCCTCCTGGGAGCCGGCGGGCTGGACCGGTTCCCGTGTGTTTGACGTTAAACAACAAAAAGACTAAAAAATAGGGCCGGGCCGGTGAGGCTGGGAGGTTGAGAGTCGGCCTGGGAGCCCGGAGGGCACAGGCCCGGGCTGCGGGCTGCATCCCCGTGCGGGGCGTGCGGGGCGCGCGGGAGGCAGCCGCTGGGTGACGCCCTCTCGTCCCCGGTGCCTCCGGTGTTTTCTTCCTTCTTCGTGGCTGTTTCTCCCTCCCTCTACCTCCCCGTCTTAAATCGGCGAAAATACATTTTTAAAAAACAATAAAAATAGGAAACAGCCTCGGGGCTCTGGACAGCACGGCCTTCTGGGATGGGGACCCCGCCCCTCTCCCTGGCCCGCCTCCCTTCCCAGTCTCGGCCCCTCCCCGTCTGGCGATGCCAGTGACGTCTCCGGGCCGCCGAAGGGGCGGGGCCTGCGGTGGAGGCGGAGTCCGCCGACAGGATCAAGCCGACCCGCGGCGGGTTGCGCGGCGGAGGGGCGGGGAACGCGCTTTAAATGCGGCGCGCGCGCCCCGCCCCCAGGCAGGGACGACGTCACGCAGGCCCCGCCCCTTCCTCCTGGACTTGGCCAGGCGGTGCAGGCGGCGGTGAGCGGACCCCGCTGAGGCGCGTGCGCACTGGCCTCCGGGTGCGCAGCCCCCGCCTGGGTTCCGCCCCCGGCCGCGAGCCTGCCAGAGCGCGTGCGCGGCGGCGGCGGCGCCAGTTATTTCTGTCCCGCCCCCCAGCCGCGGCTCTTTCTGCGAGGGGCGCGCGGCGAGCGGCTGGTCGCGTGGCGCGCGTCCGGGGTCTCGGCGGCCATTGAGGAGCGGACGCGGGCGGCGGCGGCGGTGCAGCGCGAGCAGGCAGCGGCCGACCGGGCCTCGGCAGCGCCCCGCGCGCAGCGGGCGGCGTCCCAGGCGGCGCACGGCAGCGTCGGCCTCGCGGCGGCGGCGGCGGCGCCGACCCAGCCGTTGGCGGCGAGCGTGTCTGCGCCTGCGCGGCAGGCCCGAGCCCCTCCTCCCCCCCCTGGGCGCCCCCGGCGGCGTGTGAATGGCGGCCTCGGCGGCAGCGGCCTCGGCGGCGGCGGCGACAGCCGCCTCGAGCAGCCCGGGCCCGAGCGAGGGCTCGGCGGGCGGCGATAAGCGCGCCCCCGCCGCGGCCGCGGCTTCGACTGCGGCCCCTGCAGCGGCCTCGGGCTCGGCCTCGGCCTCCGCGTCGTCGCCCGCGGGGGGCGGCGGCGAGGCGCTGGAGCTGCTGGAGCACTGCGGCGTGTGCCGGGAGCGCCTGCGGCCCGAGCGGGAGCCGCGCCTGCTGCCCTGCCTGCACTCGGCCTGCAGCGCCTGCCTCGGGCCCCCCGCGCCGGCCGCCGCCAACAGCTCGGGGGACGCCGGGGCGGCGGGCGACGGAGCCGGTGAGTCCCGTCGGGCCCCTCCCCCATCTCCATCCCCGGCTGCGCGCCGGTTGGGGTTCGCGCTCAGCGCGGCGTCGGTGGGGGGACCGCCTCGGCCGCAGGACGGATGGAGGCCGGGAAACGCCGGGTCGGGTCGGGTCGGGTGCGAGCCGTGGGTTCCGGGCCCGGCGCTGCGATGGGGGCAGGGGTGTCTGCTTCCAGTTTGATGGAAGGTTCTGGCTCCGGCGGGAGGGGCGGGCGGCCCAGCGTGGGGCCGAGGCTGGGGCCGGCGGGGGAGGGCCGGTTTCCCGGCTGCGACCTGCAATGCCTGGCTCGCCCCCGCCCTCAGCAGTCGTGGACTGTCCCGTGTGCAAGCAGCAGTGCTTCTCCAAAGACATTGTGGAGAACTACTTCATGCGCGACAGCGGCAGCAAGGCCCCCGCGGACTCCCAGGACGCGAACCAGGTGCGTGCTGCCCCAGCCACCCCCAGGCCCGGGCCGTGAGGAGCGGCACCCGCTTCGGGCTTCTCCCCCTGCGAGGAGGCTCTGCGCCGCCTGGGAAGGCACCACCCGCCCCAGCCCCTTAGGCTGCCCGCGGTGTAACTGGGAGCCTTTGGGGGGCGCCCTGACTCTGCCTTCGCCCCCAGTGCTGCACCAGCTGCGAGGACAACGCCCCGGCCACCAGCTACTGCGTGGAGTGCTCCGAGCCCCTGTGTGAGACCTGCGTGGAGGCGCACCAGCGGGTGAAGTACACCAAGGACCACACCGTGCGCTCCACCGGTACGCGCCCGCGGGAGGCCCGCCCTGGGCATGCTGTCCTCGCTGATGACGTGGCTGGGGGGGGGGTGGGCTCTGGAGCTTCTCTGGGGGACAGGACTGCAAAGGCCAGGGCAGGAGTGGGGGCTCTACTGGTCCAGGTGGGAGGGGAGCGGCCAGAGGGGGTGGGGGAGTGGGTCAGGGAAGCCCCAGGGAGGGGAAGAGCCGCTGGTGGAGGGACTGCAGGTGCAGACACTGAAGTGAGTGTGAGGACCTGGAAAGCGAGGGGCCTCCTGGACCTGGGGTTACCTGGCGCCTGGCACCTGGCTCAGGACTGTGGGCGAGAGGCCTGTGGCGGTATCTACCTCATGAGCTGAGAGAGCCCTCCGGCCGGAACCTGCAGTGAGTCCTGGAGGGTTTTATCTGCAAGGTCATCGGGGCTTCCACACCTTCTCTGGCTGCTGTCAGTGGCGTGAAGACAGGCTGGATGCCTTCCTGAGTCTGCCTTGGGTTTTGGTCTGTAACTCCCCACGAGTAGCCCTTCGGTAGTTGCCCTGGCTGCTCCGGTCCAGGACGGTACTGGTGGGGGGAGGAGGGAGGAGGGGGGAGGGAGGTCTCAGGATCCTGGGGTTCAGGCAGAGGTCAGGGCGCAGGAGGAGGCAGTGTTGGAGGGACCCGGCCTGGCGGGAAGGGTTGGTGTAGGTGGGATGTCTGTGGATTTGGGGAGGAAAGGACCGGATTCCCCAACAGCTTCCTCGTGGTGACAGGCTCGGAGGTGGGACAGGAAGGTGTCCCCATTGGGTGGTTTAATTGAGCTCCGCACCCTCCCTCACAGGAGGGGCCTGCACCTGTCCCAGCAACCAGGGCTGACATCTCACCTCCCAGCCTCAGGCTCACAAGGCCCCTGTGGGCCTGTGCTTGGAGGAGCGGGGAGGGCACCACCCCCAGCAGTGGTCTCTAGGCCCTGGTTTGACGCCTTTGTGCCAGAAAGCAAACATTCTTTGTGCTGGGCTGCCACAGCCCCGGAATCCCCCCTTGCTGGACAGCCAGCTGAGTGGAGGAGAAGGGGGGCTGTTGGAGGCGGAGAAGCTCTGCGTGTCCATCCTCCTCACTGCATCTCCTGGAGGAGCTGGAAGTGGGACTGACCTGTGTGTGGGGGGTCTCAGCGGGGCTTGGGCAGAGGGTTTTGAGAGCAAGGACTTGGCCTGGGGGCCTGTGCCCTTCCCTGGCCACCCTTGCAGGGCCCTCGGCTTCACAGTAGACGGGAGTGAGGCCCCCGCAGCTGGAGGTGCTGAGGATGCGCTGTCCTCACGGCGCCTGTTCCCCAGGGCCAGCCAAGTCCCGCGATGGGGAGCGCACCGTCTACTGCAGCGTGCACAAGCACGAGCCGCTGGTGCTGTTCTGCGAGAGCTGCGACACCCTCACCTGCCGGGACTGCCAGCTCAACGCCCACAAGGACCACCAGTGAGTCCCGCGGGGGTGGGGCCCTGCCTGTTCCGTGCTCAGCGCCCAGGCTCACCTGTCTGCCCTCAGGTACCAGTTCCTGGAGGATGCCGTGAGGAACCAGCGCAAGCTCCTGGCCTCGCTGGTGAAGCGCCTCGGGGACAAGCATGCCACCCTGCAGAAGAACACCAAGGAGGTTCGCAGCTCGTAAGTGAATGCCAGGGCCTGGGGGCGTCCCTGAGCTGCTGCCATCTGCCTGACAGACCTAACCTGGCCCACCCTCCCCCAGCATTCGCCAAGTGTCCGACGTGCAGAAGCGCGTCCAGGTGGACGTTAAGATGGCTATTCTGCAGATCATGAAGGAGCTGAACAAGCGGGGCCGCGTGCTGGTCAATGATGCCCAGGTACACCTACGGGCGGGAGTCCCGGGGACAGGCACCCTCTGCTGGCCCTGTCCTTGCATGGGGAGGGCCCTGGCCCTCTTCCCTCCTGACACCCCCCTCCCCCGGGCGCAGAAGGTAACGGAGGGGCAGCAGGAGCGCCTGGAGCGGCAGCACTGGACCATGACCAAGATCCAGAAGCACCAGGAGCACATCCTGCGCTTCGCCTCCTGGGCTCTGGAGAGCGACAACAACACGGCCCTGCTGCTCTCCAAGAAGCTGGTGTGTGCTGGGTGCCCGTGGGGGCTCAGGCACCTCCTGCCAGGAGCTCACGCCCCCCCCTCCACCCTCAGATCTACTTCCAGCTACACCGGGCTCTCAAGATGATCGTGGACCCCGTGGAGCCCCACGGCGAGATGAAGTTCCAGTGGGACCTCAACGCCTGGACCAAGAGCGCCGAGGCCTTCGGTGGGTCCTGGTCGTCCTCTTGCCGCCCTGACCGTCTCTCCAGGAACCGTGCCTCATGTGTGTCTCCTTCCTGCAGGCAAGATCGTGGCGGAGCGTCCTGGCACCAACTCCACAGGCCCTGCGCCCATGGCCCCTCCCCGGGCTCCGGGACCCTTGAGCAGCAAGCAGGGCTCTGGCGGCAGCCAGGTGAGCAAGGCCAGGGCCTCTGGGGAGGAGGGGGGGGGGGTCCTCTGGGACACCTGCCCACTGAAGTCCATCTGCTTTGTCTGCAGCCCATGGACGTGCAGGAAGGCTATGGCTTCGCGTCAGGTGAGTGGGTCTGGGTCTGGTCTGTGGGCAGGTGGGAGAGCTCCAGGGCGCCAGCTCCACCCACCCACCCACCGTCCCCCTCTCTGTCTTCTGAGCAGATGACTCTTACATGAGTGCAGAGCCCCATGTGTCAGGCATGAAACGGTGAGTGTGGCTGTCCTTTGGAGCCGGTGGGCATAGGGATAGGTAGGGGTGTTCACACCAAGCTGCCCCCGCAGGTCCCGCTCAGGTGAGGGTGAAGTGAGCGGCCTCATGCGCAAGGTGCCCCGGGTGAGCCTCGAGCGCCTGGATCTTGACCTCACAGCCGACAGCCAGCCGCCAGTCTTCAAGGTCTTCCCAGGCAGCACCACCGAGGACTACAACCTGATCGTCATTGAGCGCGGGGCTGCCGCTGCTGCTGCCGGGCAGCCGGGGACTGCGCCTGGCACCCCTGGTGCCCAGCCCCTGCCTGGCATGGCCATTGTCAAGGTGAGCCTGTCCCCAGTTGACGTGGCTGGTAAATAAAGGACCTCTGCTGAGGCCTGCACCCTGCTGAACCCCAGCATCTCCTTCCAGGAGGAAGAGACAGAGGCTGCCATCGGCGCCCCGCCTGCCACCGAGGGCCCGGAGACCAAGCCTGTGCTGATGGCTCTGGCGGAGGGCCCCGGTGCGGAGGGTCCCCGCCTGGTCTCCCCCAGTGGCAGCACCAGCTCCGGCCTGGAGGTGGTGGCTCCAGAGGGCACCTCAGCCCCAGCTGGCGGCCCTGGTGCCCTGGATGACAGTGCCACCATCTGCCGCGTCTGTCAGAAGCCAGGCGACCTGGTCATGTGCAACCAGTGCGAGTTCTGCTTCCACCTGGACTGCCACCTGCCGGCCCTGCAGGATGTGCCCGGGGAGGAGTGGAGCTGCTCGCTCTGCCACGTGCTGCCTGATCTGAAGGAGGAGGATGGCAGCCTGAGCCTGGACGGTGGGGACAGCAGTGGTGTGGTGGCCAAGCTCTCGCCAGCCAACCAGCAGGTGAGGGGGGCCGTTCCCTTGGCTGCTCAGCAGCTGCATGCTCCGCTCCCGTTTGCAACTGTGCTCTGATGAGTCCTGCCCGACTGTCCACAGAAGTGTGAGCGTGTCCTGCTGGCCCTTTTCTGCCACGAGCCCTGCCGGCCCCTGCACCAGCTGGCGACCGACTCCAGCTTTTCCGTGGTGAGTCCTGGGACCTGGGGTGGGGTGTGGGGGGCATGGCTGCCTGGCCTCACCTTTAGTCTGTGGCCTCTGCCTTTAGGATCAGCCTGGTGGCACATTGGACCTGACGCTGATCCGCGCCCGCCTCCAGGAGAAGCTGTCGCCCCCCTATAGCTCTCCTCAAGAGTTTGCCCAGGACGTGGGCCGAATGTTCAAGCAGTTCAACAAGCTGACAGAGGTGAGTCTGTGCGAGGGCTGGGGCTGGGGCTGGGGAGAGTAGGAACCCACCGCCCACCTGTGTGTGCCCAGGACAAGGCGGACGTGCAGTCCATCATCGGCCTGCAGCGCTTCTTTGAGACTCGGATGAATGAGGCCTTTGGTGACACCAAGTTCTCTGCTGTGCTGGTGGAGCCCCCACCGCTGAGCCTGCCTGGTGCCGGCCTGAGCTCCCAGGAGCTGTCCAGTGGCCCTGGTGATGGCCCCTGAGCCAGCTCAGCCTGGGTGTGTCCTGTCAGCCCTGCCCTTCCCCTCTGGTGGTCTGGCTCCCATTCCTTGGTAGCCCCATTCCCTGGTCCCTCACAATATGGTTTTTACTTCTGTGGATTTAATAAAAACGTCACAAGTTCGTGTCCTGGTTGGTGGGGGCAGTTTTTCTGGGTCTGATCTCTGCCGACATCTATCCCTCCCAAGCTCTGTGGGCCGAGTAGGGCCGGGGGCACTCGTTCCCAGCTGTCCGATGTCCAGGGAGTGGGAAGAGCATCCCTCTCGGCCCTGGTGATGGAGGAGCACCCTCGTTTTCTGGGAGGGCCCACACGAGGCTTGTCCTGCACTGGCCTGTAACCATCTGAGCTTGGTGGGCTGACTCCTGTTGGCCAAGCGGAGTGGGCACCACCCATCTGGAGGTGATGCTGTGGAGGCTGAGGTGCTGGAAGCCTGGGAGGGGTCAGTCCATCCTTGTCCTCCCAGCCCCCCCCCCCCCCCCCCCAACGTGTCTGGCACTTGATCCCTTGGGCAGCCACACTGACCCGCCCTGAGTGACTCCTGCCCAAGGGACCCCGGTCTGGCCCACACGAGGCCAGTCACACAGGCCCAGGGACTAGTGTCCAATTGCTTTTATTGCAGAAGGGGTACAGCGAGCAGGCCCCTGGGGGGCCCGGAGCAGTCAGTCCCTCCGCAGATTCTTGAGCCGCTCCTCCAGGTCTGCGTCGGCGTCCACCAGGGCGGAGGCCGCGGCCTCTGCTTTCTTCCCTCCAGCAGCCACACTGAGGGAGCCGCCGGTGGAGGGGAGGTCTGCAGGGAGAGGGGTTGGAGCCCCTGTGAGAGCAGCAAGGCAGAGGGGGGTCGGGGTGGGGTCAGGGCCCAAGGCCGGACACACTCACTGGATAGTTCGTCTGTCAGGCTCAGTCCCAGCTCGTCCAGGACCTGGGACACCACAGCATCACTGGGGAAGGAGAACGTGGGTCAGTCCCTTGGGGGCCAGGCCTCCATCCCCTCCCCCACCTGGTGTCCACAAACCTCTCCTCTTCATCCTCCTCGTCTCCCATGGCATCGTCGATGGCATCGTTCATCATCTCCTCCTTCATGTCCATGATCTCTGCCTGCCTCTCGAACTCCATCATGATCTTCTGGATCTGGGGCAACTTCAGCTGCAATGGGGGGAGGGTGAGTGTGGCCCCGAGGTGTGGGGCGGCGAGGGGGACGGGAGGGACGCACCTGTCTGTTCATGGTGCCCATGGCCTTGGTGACACCCTTCATGGCTTGCGCCATGGAGTTGTTGGACTTGAGTGTCTGGATCTTGAGGGACACGGCCTGGATGTTGGCCCGCATCAGCACGAACTTGCGCACGTAACGCCGCGTGCGCACCAGGTCCTTGGCCATGATGCGCACAGCGTCCTGAGGGGACAGGTGGCAGGGACCTACGTTCAGTGGAGAACTTCGAGGCCTCCCCGTGGCTAAACCCAGTGCTCACACTGCTCCCAGCAGCCACTGCACGGCTCCTCACTTCTCGGACCCTGTGCCTGAGGCCCCCCTTAACACATTAAGTGCCCGGAAGACAAAACAGCACCCGTTCCGAGTTCCCATGTGGCCAAGAACCTGCTGCCCTTCCACCTCTCCCCAGGCCTGACCCTCAGCCCCCAACCCCTTCCTGGCCTTGCCCACATTCCACCTCACCCAGCTCCTCAGCCACCACAGGCTCCGCTCGCTCTGGCTCAGGCAGGGTGAGCCTGCGTCTCCTGCAATCAGCCCTTCCGCTCCCCTCCCCTCCCCACACCATCACTTCTCATCTGACGTGTGCTGCCTGGATCGCCACCTGATCTTCATCTTCATTCCTCAGGCTTTGCCTCGGGTATCACCTCCAGGGAGGCGGCCCTATTGGCCCCCAGACGGGGGAGCCGAGCTCACCCTTCCCTCCGCTTTCCTGGAAGCACCTGCCTCCCTGGAGGTGATGCCCGCCGCTGCTGGCCGCCCTCAGTGCCCGAGCACCTCGCCCGGCGCCCCGCCTCCGCCCCGACCTCACCATCTGGCCCTGCTTGGCCATCTTCTTGATGTCCGCGATGATTTTCTTCTCCTGGGTCTCCAGCTTCTGCCGCTCACGGTCCAGCTCCCGCATGGCGCGGTTCAGGGCCCGCTGGTTCTGTCGCAGCAGCTCCTCCGGCGTTTTTCGGCGCCCAAACAACAGGTCCATGGCGGCGGGGCCCGCCCCTGGTGGGAAGCCTAGCTGCGGTCGGCATGGGGCCCAGAGCGGCGACAAAGGCAGCAGGAATGGAGGGGCCAGACAGGAGGGAGTGTTCAAAGCGGGGAGGGGGAACAGGGAAGGAGGCTGAATGGAAGCCAGAGCGCGCGGCCCGAAGTGTGGGGGTGGGTGCCCCAGGGGCACCGGCGACAGCAGGGTGCGGACTGAGCGCGACCACGCCAGCTCCTCTCCATCGGCGCCCGGAGCCCTGCAGCCGGGTGACGCCGGCTGGCCCGGGGGGAGACTGGAGGGGGGCGGTCAGGGGTCCCCTGGACGCTGGGCTCAGGGCAGTAGTGGGGGCCCCGAGTGCCGAGCTGACAGTGTAGGGACGCCATTCCGATCGGGAGACCTGAACGCTTAGGAAACCCGGTTGCGGAGGGTAAACGGGGGGGACGCGGGGGGCGTCGGGGGCCTCTGTGCACCAACGGGGGGCGGGACCCGTGCGCCGACAACAAGGCGGCTGTGGGCGCCCGGACCGTGAGGCCAGGGCCCCGGGAAGGGCGAGGCCCCCTCGTACCTGGCCGCCCACGAGCCCACCCGGGACCGAGGCCTGGTAGGGGCCACTTACCGAAGCTGGGACGGGAACCCGCTTCCGCTTCCGGGTTACGAGCCTCTCGCTCGAATCCCGGGAGCGCCCACCAACAGCCCCTCGGTTCAGTCGCCTCTGCCGCCGCCGCCGTTTCCGGATTAAACGCTCTGACGTCGTAGGCCCCGCCCACCCCCGGAAAGCGAGGAGGCATAAAAACACGCACGCGCTCTGCCGCTGGCCGGGGCCCAGGCGCATGCGCACTGGTTCCCATTTCCCCGCGACCGGCGGAGGGTGTGCACAGGTTCGCCCGAGTCCAGCCACGCCCGGAGCGCGGGACCCGCAGGTCCGACATCCCGCCACACCACGCACCGAGGGGCGGCTAATTCAGGAACTCGGACTCCTCCCTGATGTCCCCGGCTCTCAGGCACCCGGTCGCAGCAGGCAGGGTCCTCCCCTGGCCCCCCCAAGGCAGAGGGGGCGGGGCGGCGACTGGCAGCGGGACCCCGAGCGGAACGGCCCCACCCAGCCCTCAGCACTGGGCACCCTGGGACCACACTCTCGTCCCAGGAGCCTAAGGGGACCTCGCCCGCCCTCCCGCCCCACAGAAGGAAGAGGCGGAGGCCATGCAGTAACATTCCCCTTTAATAGCCTGGCGGGACCTCCACTGGCGGAGGAATGGGGTGGCGGGGCTCCAGCCACCCAGTCCCCTTGGCCACCCACCCCAGAGCCCAGAGTGGGAGGCTGTGCGGCACCCAGCGGGGGGCTAGACAAGCCAATTCATTTCCCATCGCTGAGCGGGTCGGGAGGAGGCAGCTCCGACCTTAATCACATGGTGGTTAAAAAAAAATAACTAGGAGCCGGTGGCAGGAAGGGGAGGCAAGGCCAGGGCGTGGAATGGCCCCACCTGCTGCCCCATCCCTCCACCTGTGGCCCCCAATAAATATTTGTAGGGGACGCCGGGGCTGTGGCCCTGGCAGGGGTGGGTGTGGGCCGACCCTATTTCAGGCAGCGCTCAAAGTAGGTGGAGCCGATGTAGCCGCCGCGCATGGAGCGCTGCACGTTCTGCTCGAACAGTCGTCGGTTGTTCTGCAGGACCTCAGCGGCTTCCTTGTTCAGTGGGTCTTCAGGGTTGGGCTCCTGTGGCCAGTAGGAGTGGGGGTCAACAGGCCTGAGGGGCAGAGGCGCCCACCTCTCCAGCCCTACCCACCGCCCCTACTCACCAAGAAGAGATACTGCAGGCCATAAATTATGGAGTTTATCGTAAGGACTGGCTTCCAGTCCTCTCTGTGGGCAGAGAGCATGAGGTTCAGGGGCCGGTGGGGGGGCGGCTGCCACAGGCCCTGCTGGGACTGGACAGGTCAGGCCCAGGGCACAGGACAGGGTGGCCAGGAGGCCGGGGGGAGGCGTACACAGAGCAGCACAGGCCAGGGAGACAGTCAAGGTCAAGCCACAGGAAGGAAACCAATGCAGAGGCACAGGGACACAGACCACAGCGGGAGGAACGGGCTGGGCACTGGCTCAGTGAGAGGCCGTGAGGGGCCCCGCCGGCAGGGCAGGGAGAGCTGGGGGTGGGGGCCGCGCCTTCACCTGAGGATGTTGAGGCAGACGTTGCCCTCGAGGTCGATGTTGGGATGATAGACCATCGTCTCACACTTCACCTTGGGGGGGTCGTGCGGGTAACCCTGGCCCACCTGGCTCCGGGAAGAGAGGGGAGGTGGAGAGGCGCCCAGCAGGGTCTGGCGGGGCCTCAGCCGTTGCCTCCTCAGCCCACCTGAGACTCACCTTAAAACTGAACACGAACTTCCCGCTCTTGTAGAAGCCCTGCGAGGAAGAGAGGAGGAGGGCCCTAGCGCGCGTCCTGCAGGGCCTGGCAGGTGAGCCAGGTCTCCCTCCACAGGACCGGCCAGGGCCCAGCCAGTGCCTGGGTGTGGGGCGGGGTGTGTCCTCACCTCATCAGGGCAGATAACCAGCTTGAAGTTGAGGAGGTCGTCTGGGTCTGAGAAGCTGATGTCACACGTCTTGGGCAAGTTCAGCTCGTTTATGTCTGGGTTCGTACAGCAGAGACGGGGAACAAAGAGGCAAGGAAGGGGGAGGAGAGAGGAGGGTGTTCAGCAGGCCCCACGGTCCCTCCCGGACCCTGGGGCTCTGTCCCGGGCTGTGCCCCACATCCCCAACCCTCTCCCTACTCCCCTCCCCAGTCTGCAAGCAGGATCTTCTGGATCCACACACACCCCAAACATGCAAATTCAAAGGTGCCTGTGGCCTAGCGTCTGCCGAGCGTAAACTCCAGGCCCTCTGGACCCACCGCCCCAAATCCCTTTACTCAACAGCCGGGCCCCCCAACCCAGCTCCTAGCAGCCCCACTCCCAGGTGTTCCCCAAAAGCCTCTGACTGCCTCAAACCCCAGGATCCGCAGCCATAACCCATTATCTAGCGGACTCTGCTGGCCCCCACCTGTCCACCCAAACTCAAGGACCCTGCCCCTCTTACCCCGTATCACCCCCTCACCAATCCCGGGTCCCAACCATCCCTCCTCTCTTCTCCCTGCCTGTCACCCCAAACCCAGCTTCCGTTTTGACCCCCCGACCCGGGAGGCCCCGGCCTCCCACCTCCACCAGTCCTGTCTGATCCTCTCTGGCACCCCTAGCCCTGCCTCCTCCTCCTGTCACCCAATCAGACCACATGAATCCCAAGCCCTGAAACCTGCTCCCGCGTCTGACTCGCATGTTCCCGGGGACCCCAGCGCAGCCCACTGCTCTCCCCTCTCCTCTGCCTGCCATCCAGGTGCCCGCCGGACCCCGCCTCGGTCCCCAATACCAGGCGCCCGGCTTTCTGAGCACCCCGAATGCCCCATCCGGTGCCCCCAGTCCCTGAAACGCCGCTGACTGCATCACCCCACCGCTGGTCCCCATCACCCAGGCCATGACCTCCGACCCCACCGACCCCCGCGCGCGCAGTGCCCCCCCCCCCGATTCCCTCGCCACCCCCCCCCCGCCCCCGGTCCCGGACTTCCGACCCCACCCCACCCCACCCCCGACCCCTACCCTTCTGGATCCGCAGCTGCGCCGCCGACGCTTTCTTGCTGCTGCCCTTGGTGCCGCCCGCCGACTCCTCCTCCTTCTTCTGCTGCTTCAGCGAGAACAGCTTGATCATCCTGCTGCCGCCGCCGCCGCCGCCGCGGGGCCCGGGACCCCGGCCGCCCGGCCCCCTGCCGCTGCCCGCGCCGCCTCCGCCACTCGGACCGGCCGACGCGGCCTCCTCCGCTGCTGCCGCGGCCCGTCCGGCCTGCCGCGCCGCTCCGCGCCCACAGCGCGGCCCGCGTCGGCTCCCGTAGTCCGGCTCCGGCCTGGCCCGGCGCCTCGGCCTCGCTCGGCGGCACTCGGGCCGACTCGGCTGTCCTCGGCCCGCTCGCCCCGCCCCCACCGGCCGCTCCCTCCGCCCCCTCGCCCGCTCCGGTCGCTCAGGCCCCGCTGCGGCCGCGGACGCGGGCTCCCTGGGCCGCACCGCCTGTCCGCTCCCTCGCTCCCTCCGTGAAGAGGATGCGGCTCGAGGTGAAAGGAGGCGGTGGCGACCGCAGTGGCGGCGGCCGTGTCCTGGAGGAGGCCGGCTTCCGCGGCAGCAGCGGCTTCGGCGCGGAGGTCCGCAACGGCCTCGGGCGCCCCACCACTTCGGATATTTCCGCCTCCAGTCCGCGCTTCGGCTCTTCCCGCCCGGCCTGCGCTGTGCGCCTGCGCAGCCGCCGCGGTCCCCGCCCAGCGTTCGTCAGCGACGGGGCTGCGTTCGGGTTCCTTCGGCTGGGCTCGAGTATTTCCGCTCGTGCGGGGCGTCCCTCGGTCACTTCCGGAAACGTTCGAGGTTCCTGGCAGGGGACGGTGTCGCCGCCATCTTTAAGTGGGGCAGATGCAGTCCACCTCAGTCGCGCTCCGGCCATTCCCACTTGCCCTACTGCAGACCGCGGCGGGGGGTGGTCAAATGAGGCCCTTGTCCCGGAGGTCAGACAGGGGCATGGTGATGCCGGGGCCAGGGCCTGGGGTGAGGCCAGGGGTGTTGTCCGGAGGGTAAGGGATGGAGCACCCTCATGTCCCATCGCAAACCCCAACCACCCGCTCGCGGAGATGCTAGTTGAGCTAAAGTAACCAAACACCTATTGTACCAGAGAACGGTCAGCACGGTGAAGTGTTATGTGGGGAACTTGGGGGGCGGGGTCACGCGGCGCCGCCACGGGCGCGGTGGGCGGGCCCAGCTTCTCCCCCAATCACGGCTCAGCATGCTCCGGAGGGCGGGAGGCAGCGACGTGGGTGGTTCCGTAATTTCCGGCGTCACCGCAGAAATCTTCCGGCCGGTGAGGAGGTGGGTCTCGAGCGCAGGACCGGGATGGGCAGCTCCAGCGGAGCGCCCGGAGCATTGTGGGAGACGCAGCCCGCCGGTCTCAGGCGCGCGGATCTCAGCTCGGCGCAGTCGCCCGGACGCCCTCCTCGTCCTCGGACAGACCGGCATCCACCGCACACCCTCCCTCAACCGGCGAGTTACCGCGGCCTCGGCGTTGGCTGTGCCCCGTGAGTGCCGGGCCCCTCGGCGCCCGGGCCCCCTGGACTGACCCCGGCTGTGTTTCTGTAACAGCCCCTCCTCCCGGCCTTGCCGTCCTCCCTGCCGCCGACCCACAGGCCCCCTCCAGCCCCAGGAGAGCGGGGTGCTGGCGATGTGCGGGGGTGCACGCCGGCGTTCCCAGGCTGCAGGCGGGACTGGTCCTGGGAGTCAGGGGCCTGCCTCCCCGTTCTTGCCGGCCGCTCTGCTCTTGTCGTGTTGGTCTTCTCGTGCGGGTGGATGACCATCCTTTTCCCAGCCAGAGTCTCGGGGGTGGCGGTTCTGGCCCGCGTGTCCGTCCCTGGGCATAGGGAGTGGGTGCCGTGGAGAGGTGACGCTGGGCTAACGTCATGGCTTCGACTCAGCCGTGCAAACAATTCTGGGCAAAGGAGGCCATGGGGGCCGGACCAGGGAGGGAGGGTGGGAGGGGGTGGCCGGACTGAGGCGGGGGCCGGATTGGAAGCGGTGCAGCTGCGTCTTTTGGCCACCGGAGGTGCAGAGGGCACAGCCAGTTTGCCTGTGCAGGGGCCCGAGCCCTTGGGAGGCAGCAAGCGCTTGGCACCTGCAAAAGCCCCGAGGGAAGCCAGGGCCAGAGCCTGGCGGGAAGGCAGGGCACGATGGAGAGGATGAGGGTGGACGTGCAGCCCGGGGGTGGGAATGCCCGCTGGAGGGCTGGGAACTGGCCTGGGGCCTGCCCCCACCCTGTTCCCATAGGAGGATGCGGGAAAGTCTGCAAGAATGTGTATTTCCAGATAAAACCTTCCAGCTTTTTCACCTCAGGGATGTCTTCCCAGGTTTAAAGTTTGACAAACACACGCCAGGCCGTATCTGGGCTGCTGGGCACCGGCTTGCTTCGTCTGCATCCGATGAGCTTTGCCAGCCAAGGAGAACGAGGCCTTCCAGGCCCACCCGGCACCGGGCTCGGGCAGCGGGTGTGTGTCTTGTGCAAACTGCACTGGAGTCCTAAGAGGAGGCACCCACAGACGTGCTGGCGCTGCTAGGAGCCCCTCTTCGGGGGTCACGGCTCTCGGGGACCGCGAGGTCGCAGTGGGAAGGGTGGGTGTGTGGAGTTAGTTGTTGGAGAGGGACCCGCGCGGAGACCCAGACCAGGTTCCTTCTACTGTTTATTGAGCATCTACCGGGGCCGGGCCCTGCGGCGGAGGCCTCACAACCCGTGGGCAGGTGTACCGTCCCCTCCCCGCGTGGGCACAGAGGCCGAGGTGGGCCGGGTCGGTGAGCGCCCTACTGCGCGCTGTGGACGCGCTGGTGCTGGGCGAGCTGGGCGCTCTGGCCGGAGCACTTCTCGCGCCGGTGGGTGCGCAGGTGCTGCGTGAGGTTGACGCGCTGCCGGAAGCGCTGGCCGCACTCGGGGCAGGCGAAGGGCTTCTCCCCCGTGTGGACCCGCAGGTGCTGCGTGAGCGTGGGTCGCTGGCGGAAGGCCTTGCCGCACTCGGCGCAGGCGAAGGGCTTCTCCCCCGTGTGGATGCGCTGGTGCTGCGTGAGGTTGACGCGGTGCCGGAAGCTCTGGCCGCACTCGGGGCAGGCGAAGGGCCGCTCGCCCGTGTGCACCCGCTGGTGCTGGCTGAGCTTGGTGCTGTGGCTGAAGCGCTGGCCGCACTCGGCGCAGGCGAAGGGCTTCTCCCCCGTGTGGACCCGCAGGTGCTGCGTGAGCGTGGGCCGCTGGCGGAAGGCCTTACCGCACTCGGCGCAGGCGAAGGGCCGCTCGCCGGTGTGGATGCGCCGGTGCTGCGTGAGGTTGGCGCGCCGCGGGAAGCGCTGGCCGCACTCGGGGCAGGCGAAGGGCCGCTCGCCCGTGTGCACGGCCTGGTGCTCCAGCAGCGCCGCGCGCCGCGGGAAGCTCTCCCGGCATTCACTGCACGGGAAGGGGCCCGGGGGCTCGGGCGCACCGGGCGGCGTGGGGGGCCCGGCGCCCGGGCCGGGAGGGTCGCCGTGGGTGCGCCGGTGCTGCAGCAGGTTGGAGAGCTGCCGGAAGCTCTGGCCGCACTCGCCGCAGCGGAAGGGCTGCTCGCCCGTGTGCACGCGCCGGTGCTCCTCCAGGCGCGCGCTGCGCACGAAGCCCTGGCCGCAGTCGCTGCAGACGAACGGCCGCTCCTCCGTGTGCGTTACCTGGTGGCGCAGCAGGTGCGAGCTGCGGCTGAAGCTGCGGCCACACTCGCTACACACAAACGGCCGCTCTCCCGTGTGGATCTTCTGGTGCCGCACCAGGTTGCTGCGTTGGCTGAACACCTTTCCACACACGTCGCAACGGCCACCTCGCACGATGCGGCCCGTGCCCCGGTGGGGATTCTTGTCTGTGCGGTCCCGCTCGTCTCCCGGGTCTTCGGGGGGCATGAGCGCATGCGAGGAGCCACCTAGTCGGGAGCATGACTGGCGTTGGCTCACAGCGCCCGGGCCGGCAGACACGCTGTCCATCTGGGGCGCAGACCCTGTGTTGCACAAGGGGACCCTCTCGGTGACAGCCCGCTGTGCCCGGGGCATCCCAGCCCTGGGTCCGCAGTGTGAACTGGAGGCTCCTGACTGACCAAGGAGGCAAACAGAGGGCCGGGCCGGGGCAGGGACTGTATCTGTGCAGCTTCCCCAGGGAGCGACAAGGGAACGGACCTTGCATGAGGAGGAAGACTGAGAAGCCGGACAAGCTTTCCGGGTCTTACTTCAGTCTGCAATCATCACCTTTCTGGAAGGGCTGTGGTGCAAGGTGGCGCTTGCACCGTCCGGGTGGGCGAGAGTGCCTTCAGAAAGCACAGAGCTGAGTGGGCCTCTGAGGGGCAGTGGGTGCCTGCAGGCTGTGGGTGCAGGAGTCGGGGGTCTTCATGGGAACCTGAATGTTTGTGCTGCGACCTGTGCACGGCATAGGGAGCCCTGGGCCTGCATGAGATCGGACGGGGCGTGGAGAGGTGTCTGAAGAGCAGGAGATGCTGGGCGACTGGCCTGGTGCAAGCAGAGGCCACTGAGCAGCAGGGCCGGAGAAGAGGAAGCCCGGAGGAGGTCAGACCGAGGAGACCCAGCGGCTTCAATGGCAGCAGGAAAACCCTAAGTTATCAAAGGGCAGCTAACCCACATAAAAGGAGATAACTGCACAGCAAAAGCTACTTAAGAATAAAAAATAAAACAAACGAGAATCAGAAACCGCAGAGGCAAAGGTCTAATTAATCTAAGAATTCTAGTAAACCGACACGAAAGACCAGCAACCTGATCCGCGTGGGCAAAGGATGCCAACAGGGAAGGAAACGTGACGAACACTGAAATCCCACAAAATACGCGTAGTCCCTTCTGTACCTAAGCGCTGCACGCACCCACGGTCTCCCACCCTCACTGAAGACCAGGCCTCGGCGTGCACTGCTGGTGGACATAGACGGGAAGCCCGTATTGTAAGAGATGTCAGATGGCACCTTCCCCACACTGGTCCTGCAGCTGTGTTCCCCCCGTGAAGTGACCTACACACTTGGTTTCTCAGTTCATCACTGGAAAGTAACCCAAACGCCAGCAGGAGCCTGGACGGACGCAGTGCGCAGTGGGGCTCTGCAGCCGTCCAAGGACGGCCCTGGCTGCACGCGATGCCAGGCGTGGAGCAGTGCATTTGAGCGTGTTTGCTCCTGTGTGCACGCGCTCTGGAGGACACGTCACGCTGGCTGCGGGGGAGCAGGGCTGTCACAGGCAGGGGGGCTCACTGAGGACTCCCTCTGCCTTTTGAACTTTCTAACGTGTGAGTTACTCGGAATATTCTTGTGGTGAAGATGCTGGCTACACAGAGAACACTCACTGGAGGTGCCGGCGAGCAGCCAGGAGGCTGATGGGGACCCAGGAGGCTGAGGGACCAGTTTGAAGGTGGGCGCTGCGGCTGTCTAGGGAGTGCAGCCTGAGGAGAGAATGGAGCTGTGAGGTGGTGCTGCCGGTGGGCTGGGAAGACGGGTGAACTGAGAAGCAGGCCCAGCTAGAGGGGGAGCCAGCCCCGTGGCACAGGCTGGGCCTCGCTGGCAGCTGAGAATTAAACAGCAGCAAGGGCAAGTGCCCGATCCTGCTCTCGGCTCCAAAACACAGAAGGTGACTTAAGAACACTGTGGGCAGCGCCCAAGTAAGAAAGGCCGGCTGGTGAGACCCAGGATCCACAGCTGGCGGTGAGCTATAGAGCCTTGGCTGAGGGTCCGGGGTGGGTCCGCCGGGCCACCCACAGACCTGGGCTGCAGAGGGAGCGCCCTGGATGGGCTGGGGCCTGGGTGCACCTTCACGGCAGGGTTTCGATGGGCCCTGTGGCCGCCCCTCACCCAGGACTAGGCTGAGGGCAGGGACCAGCGAGCTCCCAGTGGGAGAACCCAGCCCAGCACACTGAGCTAACTAACCAGTCTGGGGAGGAAGCTAAATTATTCCAAAGCCTCCAAGGGGGACCAGCATCTCTGAAACAAAGAGATGAAAAAAGAGTGAGTTAGGATCCTTGCTGGTGACCAGCAGACGGGGACGAGTGGAAAACAATTTAAATTTGCTCCATCCTGAAACAGCAGTAAGACGACAATAAAATCCTTTTTGTTTTTCTTTTAAGGCATCAAATCCCCAAAGATGAAGAGAAAAGGAAACACCACTGATGTTTTGTCCTCTGGAAAGCCGAGGGGCAGATGACTGTAGAGACTGGAGAAGGCGAACACTAAGTCAGCAGCGGGGGAACAAACAAAATCAACCTGTTTTACCCCAAAGAAGATTCAGAAAGTTCAGGAGTCGGAGGTACCAGGCACATCTGGCCGTGCAGGGTGAGGGGTGCCATGCAGGTCAGGGAGACTGATAGCAGCTGGGCAAGGGCAAGGACCAGCTCTAGGCTGTCTGCACAGGATGCTGAGGGGACAGCGGGCTCTGTTGTCGCTTGGATTCTGGGTCTCCTCCCATCCTGGCAAAAGGCTGGGTTGAGGCAGGAGACCAACTGAGGAAGTTAAGGGGTTAAGTGAAGTCACACTGTGTGCTGAGCAGCAGCCTCTCCTGGGATACTGGCAGAAGGCTGGAAGTGCCTTCTTGGGGGGCTCGGGTGCCCCAAACCAGCCAGAGTACCCGACAGATCCGTCACTGACACCCCCTCTTCCCACTCATATCCCCCAAGATGTGAGTCTTGGGGAGTGATGCCTCCATGTCCTTCCCAGCCCCTCACCCACCTGCTCTGAGCCCCCAGATTGGTGGTCCCCGTCTTAAACGTAAGCAGACAACTTGGAGGGAACAGAGACCATATTGGGAGAAGAAAACCTAGAACAAGTTACTGCTATTCTCAGAGAAATAAGGAAAGACACTGTAACTGTGAGGACAACAGGAAGTGGCTATAAAAACGAAAGCTCAGGGAATGGAACCTCCTGGAAGTTAAAACCAACGAGCAGATACGAGCGTCTCCACGGAGGGTCTGGAAGACGTCAGTGAAGGACTCTGGACCACAGAATACAAAGAAAGGGACGACGGTCAGAGTGAGAAGAACATTGGAGTCGGAACGAAACAATGAGAAGGAAATCAAAGAAACCATTCCAGCCAGTGTCCCACGATTGAATGTGCTTCTCAGATGGGTAAGGCTCACCAACATGTGATACAGAAACCTGTGAGAGCCCTAACCGGTTTGGCTCAGTGGACAGAGCGTCGGCCTGCGGACTGAAGGGTCCCGGGTTCGATTCTGGTCAAGGGCATGTACCTTGGTTGGGGGCACATCCCCAGTGGGGGGTGTGCAGGAGGCAGCTGATCCATGTTTCTCTCTCATCGATGTTTCTGACTGTCTATCCCTCTCCCTTCCTCTCTGTGAAAAATCAATAAAATATATTAAAAAAAACCCCGTGAGAGCGTTAATAAAACGAATCCTTTATCCGGCAAGCTTCTGTGTGAGGGGGTGTGTAGATGGGTGTCTCTCGGAACATTACTTAAGTCCCACACCAGAGTTCAGAGCGAGGTCTGAGAATACGGGAAGGAACCAGGAAGGAGGGGTCACGGAAACAGGAAGAGAGACCAGGACCTGGGTGACGGCCAGCCTCGGGCTGAGTGCCCAGCGGACACCTGGGAGATGGTGTGACTCCCGCTGTGCTGCCCGCCCCCGTCTGCTAACCTGTCCTTGCCATTCCTGACCCTCCCTATGCCGACACTCCAGTTTGGCCACGGGATGCCAGAGCTGGGAGGTGTGGGCTGGGGAACAGAGGCCTGGGTCTTGGAGGCGTCACTGAGGTGGGGGAGCAGCTGGATGAAGGGGAGAGCGGGGCTTTTGAGGCTTGGAGATGCTGAAGGTTGATGCTGCGAGGGATGGTCCAGGGAGTGGGGAGCAGGGCTAGGAATGGGATAGGCAGATAGGTTTCTGCCCACACAGGGCCCGCCCCACCGTGCCCGTCTTCACTCACCTTGGGAGGGGATGCCCCCAGCTTCCTCTTTCCATGGGGCCCCAGGGTGTTCCCTCCACGAGGAGCCCTCAGGCTCAGTCTTGCTGTGGGGAGAGGCCTGGTCCAGCAACATCCCACAGTCCTGAAACCACAGTGGCCACGGCTCGTCTTTCCCCGCGAGGCCCAGGGAGGGACCTCCCAACCTCCACCAGCTGAGGCTCCTGGTCTGTGGGACTCACCTGGGCCTCAGGCAGGAGACTGGAAGCGGCCTCCTGGGGGTTGACCGGAGCCTCAGAACCCAGAAACTCTGGAGAGGAGGGATGGGGTGAGGGGTCCCACGGTTCCCACCCCACGACTCTCCCCAGTGGCACGCTGGGTACTGGGATCCAGGTGGGGAGGGATGGTTGCAGGGTAGCTCCAGGGGCCCTTGGAAGGCCCAGGAGGAGGCGGCTCAGGTCTGTGCCCTGCACGCCTGCGTGAGACCTGGGCATACAGACAGTGAAGGTGGGAGGGGGGCACTGCCCAAGGGACCACAGGAGTGGTGGAGGGGGTGGCCAGCTGTGGCACCTGCCCGGGAGGTGTGCACGGGAGGGTCAGGCCCCCAGCACTTTGGGGCCCTCCCTCATCTGCACCCACCCATACCCCCCAGCCTGCTGTCGCCTCTCCTGTGACCGGCTGACATCCCTCAATGGATCTCCTTGCGGAGGGAACCCCGCACGCCTCCCCCACGTGGACACCCCAGCAGCTCGTCTCATGCTGCCAGGGGAGAGCATGGAGACAGCCGACAGTCAGGCTTGGCTGGGAGGGGTCCTGACAGCTGCTGGCTGGGAGGAGGGGCCCAGTGCATGGCCATGGCCCACCCATTAGGTGCCTGGCCCAGTGGCTTCAGGATGTCCAGGCCCAGCTCCCAGGTCCATCCAGTGAGGCCTTGGGCCCTGCCTACCTTGCCTGTCCTCAGCTGGGTCCTCAGGCTCCTTTTTCACCTGAGGGCTTGGTGGCGACCTCTGCGTGGTGACCTCTGTCTCAGGCCCAGGTTCCGTAGTCTGAGGCTTGGTTTGCAGGAGGGGCTGGAAGTCGGAGGGCTCCACCTTCTCTGACAGCACCTCCTGCCCCTGCACCTGGACTGTGACCTGGGGAGGTGCCCCGTCTCATTAGGGGCCCAGGCCGGGAGCTGGGGCTGGACCCCAATGCAGGACTTCAAGGTCTGGACTAAGTAGGTCCTTCAGGGAACCCATCCCCCGGGGAATGCGCAGGGGGTGTCCTGTGTCGACACCCGCCCTGCATCTCTCCCTGTGTCCATGACCCCGCATGGGACACGTGTCCAGCTGAGCACGGCACGCCCCATGTTATGTTCAGGGCAACCGACTCACCCATCTCCGGGGTCCTCCTGGCTCCCGACGCAGCCCCTCCACCAGGGCCACGGCCTCCTCGGGGCTGCCCGGCCGCTGCCCTCGCACTCGGGCCTGGATCTTGGGGGGCAGTGTGCTCAGGAACTGCTCCAGCACCAGCAGCTCCAGCACCTGCTCCTTGGAGTGCACCTCCGGCCGCAGCCACTGGCGGCACAGCTTCCGGAGCAGGGCCAGGGCCTCTCCGGGCCCTGCTGCCTCCTCGTAGCAGAAGTGCCAGAAACACCAGCACGCAGCCTCTGGGCCGGGATCCCATGGGGTGGCCTCCACCTCCTCCAGCTTCACCACGATGGGGCTCTCGTCCTCCGGGGCTGTGTGCCCTGGGGAGCACAGTGCTGCCGGCCTCATCGGAAAGATGGCTTGGCCCTGAGGCTACTGCTCACCCTGGGGACGGATGGGATGAGGCTGCTGCAATGACAGCGGAGTGAATGCTTATTGAGTGCCGACTGTATGCTGCGCTGTCCCATCCTCAGTCCTGCCTGGGGGAAGGCCGATAGGACACTGAGGCTCAGGGAGGTGATCACAGGCCCTGGAGGAGCCACCAGTCCCTGGCCTCTCTAGCTGTGCCTGCAGAATCTCCGGTCACCCCCAGCCCCAAAGAATTCTTAGGCTCAGAAGTTACCTCTTCTCTCCCCTAAATCCTGCTTTCCTTTTTTTTAAAAATTTTTTTTTATTGAATTTTGTACAGAGAGGAAGGGAGAGGGATAGAGAGTTAGAAACATCAGATCAGCTGCCTCCTGCACACCCCCTACTGGGGATGTGCCGGCAACAAAGGTACATGCTCTTGACTGGAATCGACCCTGGGACCCTTCAGTCCACAGGCCGATGCTCTATCCACTGAGCCAAACCAGTCAGGGCAATTCTGCTCTCTTTCTATGTACATCACCTCATCCCTGCCCTGTAGTTCTCCCTCTCACAGGTGATTGTCACCAACACCCAGCACCCGGGCATCAGCCCCATTACCACCCCTCTAAGCCAGCCCATCATTGCACCACCCCCACTTCCACCCGGTCTCAGACCACTCCCCTGCCATCTTGGTTCCACAGGGCAGTCTCCCTGCACCTGTCGCCCCCAGCACCTGTGCCAAGTCACCCGTGTGGCTCAGCCCCCAGGTGGCCTCCTCCCCCAATTCAGCTCCCTCCTCTGAGCCCTGCTTATCACGCCGTGCAAATCACGGTCTCCTCAGCTTCCCGACAGGTGGACGCGGGAGGTGAGAGGGCAGCTTCCCGGGGCCCACACCAGCCCTGCGACCACGGACCGGAGGCTGGTCTCGGTGAATGTGTCATCTGCAAATAAGGACGACCAGCATCCCCCCCGCCCTCACTCCGCTGCTCCTGCAGCTGTTAGGCGCGGGCTTTGTGCAGGAATCTGTTCATTAAGGGTGTGGAATCGGTTTCAGAGGCCGCCTGATCCTGTGAGCCAACCCTCCGCTCCTCTAGGTCCCAGGTCAACCCCAAAACCCTGGGAGAAAGTTGGACCATCGTCCAGCCAGCCGGGCCTCGCGGAGATTGCTGGACTACATTTACCAGAAGCCTCGGCGGGCAACTTCCGCTCTAGGGAGCCAGGCAGGTCCAGGTGCCGCCATGGCAACCGGGGGCGGGGCTCCCGTCGCCGTGGCAATGCGGTGACTGACGGGCCTCGGCGACAGCGCCGGGCTCGCCAGCAGGGAGCGCCCAGGTCCCTGTCCCGCGTTCCCGGTCCCGCAGGGCGGCCGGAATCCCCGGTGCGCACCGCCACCCGTCCCCGCCCTTACCCCCACGCTCAGCGGCCGCTCTCCTGAGCATGCGCGCTCGCAGGCTCCCCTCCCAGCTGCACTATGTCTCCCGGGGAAACTACACAGCAGTCCCAGCGCCTCCGGGCCCTTCCCCAGCCCTCGCCTCTGTTCCCACCCTGTTCCCCGGGGTAGCGCTGTTCCCAACCATCAGGTCACACTTCCGGTCGCCGCTTCCCGTGCTCCCCGCCTCTGCTCCAGGCGTCTGGGGCCCCAGCGACGTGCGCAAGCCTCTCAGGGGGGAACCCGCGGCAGCGCTGCCTTCCAACCGCGCATGCCTCCCACGCCTCCCGAGGATTAGCTGCTCTGCTCCAATCACGGCCCTCGCTGAGACGCCGTCGGCCCCGGTCTCCACGGCAGCCCCTGCGGAGATTTGCGGAGGTGCACCGCCCGCACACCGGGGGGAGGAGAGGCTGGGCCCGGAGCTTCCTGGGAGGTGTAGTCAGCCGGCCCTCCCTGCGCGCGTGCGCATCGCGACGGTCGTTCCTGTCGGCAGGCGGTAGGCGTCCCTGCGTGTCCATGGTAACCAGTGGAGCCGACTCTGGTCCAGCGCAACCCCGGGCGTCAGAAAAGCCCGAGTAAGAGGAATGAGGGCGTAGGGAGGGGACTGGGATAAAGAGGGGAGGGACGAGGGGGGAGTGAGGGGTGACTGACCGGGGGCAGGGAGGGACCCAGAGTTTGCAGGTGAGAGGCTCCAGCCTGTGAACAGACAGAAGACAGCGGGGAAAGGGCTCTGCTCTCTCAGACCTAGAGAATGTGGTGAGAAGCCAGCGGGTCGGGGATTCAGGCCCTGGGAGGCCGGTGGCCAGAATAATTAGCAACAGGGAGCGAGAGCAGTAAGGGGTGGGAGGGAGAGAAGGGAGAGAGGAGAGAGACCAGAAGTGCAGACATGGAGAGTCAAGGCACAGACAGGGACACAGGACGACACCAGAAGGGAGAAGGAGACAGAAATCAGAGGCACAGTAAGATGGACTGAGGTTTGCAAAGATTAAGAGAAGGTGACAGCAACAAGAGAGAAAGTTGGAGGGAGACTTGTGAGGAAAACTCACCCAAAACTTGACAAAGAGAACAAAGATGACCGGGAGCCTGTGTGACTCCCTCAGCAAAGCAACTGCTTCCTGCTACTTTGATCAGAGTCCAGACGCTGTGAAGTAGCTGCTAGGTTGCAAAGGTCAATAGGATGCAAATGCTTTCTGTCCTGAGAAAAGAGAGCCCAGGGTTTGAGTTGTGTCACCCAGTAGGGCACAAAGCAGGACACCACACACCTCGGGCCACCTGCTGCCCTCTAGGGCAATAATCCGACTGCGTGTTGTTGTTTTTTTAATATATATAATATTATTATTGATTTCAGAGGAAAGGAGAGAAACATCAATGATGAGAGAGAATAATGTATCAGCTGCCTCCTGCACACCCCCCACTGGGGATGTGCCCCCAACAAAGGTACATGCCCTTGACCGGAATCGAACCCGGGACCCTTCAGTCTGCAGGCCGACGCTCTATCCACTGAGCCACACCGGTTAGGGCTATTTTCCTCTTTTTAAAAAAAAATATTTTTATTGATTTCAGAGGGGAAGGGAGGGAGAGATAGAAACAATGATGAGAGAGAATTATTGATTGGCTGCTTCCTGCACGCCCCCACCCCCCACCCCAGTATGGATCCAGCCGCAACCCTGACATGTGCCCCTGATGGGAATCAAACCCAGGACCCTTCATTCCAAAGGCTGACACTCTGTCCACTGAGCCAGACCAGCCAGGCGGCCGTTACTCTCACAGCGTTCAGATGCAAAGGGGATAAGGCGGGAAGCTCGTCCCATTAATGTGCTTCACGTAATCACTTACTCAGTAAGACACACTAGCTGCCTGCAAAGTGCCAGGTGTATTCCAGAGAGCTGGGCAGACAGGCTGTAGTCCGCAGGCCGCCTGTGACAGATGCACAATGAAGCAGGCGGGGAGGGCACCGTCCGGCAGAGGTTTGCAGGAGAGGGAGCAGGCTATACAGACAGGAGGGAAGGGCCCCAGCTCTGGGCCGAAGGAGCCACAGGAGCAAAGGCCCGGGTCCGGGTTCAGCAAAGGAGAGGAGGGCCCCTGACGCCCTCCAGGAAGCTGGCCAGGCTGTGGCTCTCCCTCAGGGGGCGGTGGGAGCAGGAATTAGGGAGTTTCCCTTCCGCGTGAGTTTCCTGTGACTGCGTCGCATATCACTACTAACTTAGTGCTAAATGTCTTAGATCTCGGAGCTCGGGAATCTTAAGTGGGTTCCTCTGGGCGAAAATCAAGCTTCCAGCTGAAACCGGTTTGGCTCAGTGGATAGAGCGTCGGCCTGCGGACTGAAGGGTCCCAGGTTCAATTCCGGTCAAGGGCATGTACCTGGGTTTCGGGCACGTCCCCAGTAGGGGATGTGCAGGAGGCAGCTGGTCGATGTTTCTCTCTCATCGATGTTTCTAACTCTCTATCTCTCTCCCTTCCTCTCTGTGGAAAATCAATAAAATATATTAAAGAAAAAAAAAGAAAATCAAGCTTCCGGCAGGACTGGCTCCGCTGGAGGCTCTGGGCTTCAGTGCCCACCCCGCCTTCTTTTACAAGGACCCCGTGACCACATTGAGGGCCCATTGGGCTCACCCAGGGCTCCCTCCCCTCTCAGGATAATCAATCGCACCGCGGTGCCTCTTGCCGCGTACAGTTATTTGTTCATAGGCCCCTGCGTTAGGATGAGATGTCCTGGTCCCGCCTCCCTCACTGAGGACCGATGTCTGAGGAGAAGCATGGAGCTGGGTCGCTCTTCTGCCCGTCCGTGTCTGGGAGGTGGTGATGGTTTCTGGATGCTCTTGGCTCCCGTGTGGTTATAGGAGGTTTGGGAGGTGAAGAAAGAGTGAAGTCTCACCTGTGTTTTGATGTCGTGAGCTAAAAGTAGTAAGTGACACGCTCTCCTGGATGCAGAAATGCTTGAAAATGAGTGTGCAGCTCTCTGAGCAGTGGGGAGCGGGCGGGGAGCGGGGAGAAGGGCCAGGCATGCCTCTGAGCGGGCTCCGTGCTCCGTGTCAGTGCGTGGCAAAGCTGGGCAGTGGTGGGACTCCCACGTGCTCACGTAGTAATGCCTGTGTGTCCCCCTCTTACAGAGAGGTCATGAGGCTGCCGTTGTGGGCACAGTGGGAGCTACTGAGGCGGGGCAAGGGGCACAGAGCTCGTCGAGGTGCCTGGCGCTCCGAGGCGGAGTGAAGACAACCCCCCACCGTCAGGTGTCGGGCACGGCACCCCTGGGTGGGATCGGCCTCCGCCACAGTGCCCAGCGGGACCGGAAGTCCATCACCTGCACGTGAAGCTGGAGGGGCTTCGCAGGTTTGAAGAGGGTGAGAAGCTGACGCAGATCGCCCGGGCTCTGGGGCTGGCCACCTCCACAGTCGCCTCGATCCGTGTCAACAAAGACAAGATCCGGGCCAATTTTCAGGCCTCGGCGCCTGTCAGCGCCAAGCAGCTGACCCGCTGCCGGGGTGTGGTGATGGGGCAGATGGAGCGCTGGCTGAGCCTGTGGATCGAGGAGCAGAGACGGCGGCACCTGCCAGTCAGCACGCTGCTCATCCAGGCCCAGGCGCGGCGGCTCTTCGCCCAGCTGCAGCAGGAGCAGGGCGATGACGCCCAGGCTGAGACCTTTGGTGCCAGCAATGGCTGGTTTGCCCGTTTCAAGGCACGCCACCACCTGCTGCTCACGGATGAGCCGGCGGTGGCTGACGCCCAGGCCGCTGCCTGCTACCCCTCCGTGCTGTGCCACATCCTGGAGGAGGGCTGCTCCTCCTCGCAGCAAGTCTTCGACATGGACGAGACGGGCCTTTCCTGGAAGCGGCTGCCCGGGCGCATGCTGCTGGCGCTGGAGGGGGCAGCCAGGCCCGGGCCCAAGGCCCCTAAGGACCACCTGACCCTGCTGCTGGGGGCCAATGCAGCTGGTGACTTCAGGCTGAAGCCGCTGCTGGTGTCCCCCTCCGAGAACCCGCGCGTCCTCCGCCTGTGGTCTGGCGCTCCAACCGCAGCAGCTGGCTGACACCCAGCATCTTCCAGGACTGGCTCACCGGCTGCTTCTGCCCTGCGGTGGAGAGCTACTGCGCCAGCCACGGCCTCCCGCACCGGGTCCTGCTGCTCCTGGACGGCGCCCCCTGCCACCCTCCCACCTGGGCAGCCTCTCCGCCCACGTGCGTGTGGAGTTCCTGCCCAGGAAGATGGCGGCCCTGGTCCAGCCCATGAGCCAGGGTGTCATCGCCGCCTTCAAGGCCCGTTACCTGCGCCGCGCGCTGGGCCAGCTGGTCCAGGAGAAGGCTGGCGGAGGCCGGCCCTCCACGCGGGAGTTCTGGCGCAGCTATACCGTCATGAGGGCCGTGGACAACATCGCCCACGCCTGGGCAGACCTGCAGCCCGCCACCATGAACAGAGCCTGGAGGAAGCTCTGGCCTGAGTGCGTGCCCCCTGGCACTGTGGCGCCCGACACCGACCCCCGGTTCGCCGCGGCATCGGGGCACTAGCCAGCCACGTGGGCCTCGGGGACGTGGTGGAGGCCGATGCTGCCCGCCTGTTGCAGACCCGCGTGGAACCCCCACCCTGTGGAACCCCCCAGGAGGCTGAGGATGGAGATGCCAGCGGCTCTGGGATGGCCTGGGAGGCAGGGAAAGGCCTGACCGACAGGCCCGGACTGGCTCTCACTGAGGCTGTGGTGGGTGCAGGGCCGGAGGAAGCTGGTGTGGGTGCGCTGAGCTCTGAGCACCCGGCCCAGGCCCTGTCCCACTTCACCGCTGGCCTGCGGGTCCTCACAGAGAACGGCCCCACCCGGGAGCGCCGCCTGCGGGTGTCCCGGGGCGTCCACTGCGCCCTCGCCCCTCCGGGAACGGCACCGCGAAAGGAGGCGGCAGGCTCGGGCCGCGGCCTCGTCAGGAGGCCCTGTGGTGCCGGCCCCACGGGAGTTGGCAGGAAGCCCGAGTTCACCTCAGGTGGGGCCGACTGGTGGGCGAGTGGCTCAGGCCACAGGCCATGCAGGACAGACCTCGGCAGCTGGCCTGCGTGATGGGGGCTTGGGCCTGGTGTCCGATGACATTTTGTTTCTGGAGGACAGACACTGCCACTTCTCACCCATGGCTCTCGTGTCTTGTGCACTGTGTTCTTTCTTTTTTTTTAAGAGCCTTACTTTTTTTTTTTTTAATGTATTTTATTTATTTTTTACAGGGAGGAAGGGAGAGGAATAGAGAGTTAGAAACATCGATGAGAGAAACATCGACCAGCTGCCTCCTGCACACTCCCACTGGGGATGTGCCCGCACCAGGTACATGCCCTTGACTGGAATGGAACCTGGAACCTTTCAGTCCGCAGGCCAACACTCTATCCACTGAGCCACACCGGTTTGGCTCTTTTTTCCTTTTTTACAGTGACACACAGCCCAC